CACAATATCCCAAATCTTCGTTCTACGTCTTATCTTGGTGTTTCTACTCTTGTCTCTCAGTGATATTCCAAGCATGATTCGTTCCATTGCTCTTTGCGTTGTTTCTAATTTTCTAGCAGATTTTTGGTAAGGGCTACTGTCTCCAAGCCGTAGGTACAAACTGGTAGTATGCATGTGTTATACACCTTTTTCTTTAAGTTTACAGGAATGGAGGTGTTTTTCAGAATATATGCTAGTTTGCCGAAAGTGCCCCATGTCAGTTGTGTTCTTCTTTAATTTCAGCATCTTGATTTGATTTTCCTAGTTTGATGACATGACCTAGATATAGCATTTTTCATATCAAAACGTTTGCACGTCATTCAAGATTTACGTCGTCAGAACCCACAGGAAAACATTTTAATACAAAATTATATATTCTAAATTTTAAACTTACCTCTTCTAGGGCTTAATAGTAAAAACGTCCCGCCATTATTTCTGTTTAATCTATCTATATGAAGCTACGCTTCTACAGACTATTTATTTGTTTTGGCATATCATAATCACACTATACAACAATAATATAGTTTTTAAAGCTATTAATATAAATTTAATATGTATTTATAAATACAATTTATTAATATATATTATATTATGATCAAATTGTGTAAGAAATCAAAACATAAACAAAGTTCCTACTCTAAAAAAGCGGCAACACTTAATACACTTTTGCTATCCGCCGAACTGTCAAAAAAATTTAAAGTATTTCCATATCAGTTGCGTATAATTGTCTAATATATTTAATTAAAATTATTAATTTGTGGAATATTAGACTTAAAGAGTTATTTTATAAAATTTATATTATTAATAATAACAAATGTTTTTGGTTATTTAATCTAATATAATTCTAAAATTTTCCATATAATGATGATTAAATTTTCTGATTATTCCACCATGTTGACACCTATGAAAGATCGAGCAGTTCCATATGGGTTTCGTATTATTAGCTGTGTTAGGAAAATTTGAACTCTAAAGTTGATGTTATGGAAATTTTAAATATAAGTGACGTCACTTTGTAGAAATCGTGACGTACAAGTGTTTTACTTTGAAAAATGGTATATACATGATGTTCAACATTTTGTATGGTATGATGTTGTATTGTTATATTTTTCTCGGCTCAGTCTTTTTGTTTTACTGTAGTTCATTTTTAAGCCTACAGCTCCTGAAACTGCATTTAATTATTGTAACATATCATTTAGTTCTTGGATATTATCGGCTATTAAAACTATGTCATCTGCGAATCTCAAGTGGTTTAAGTATGATCCGTCGACGTTGATACCCTTGTTGTTCCACTCTAGTTTCTTAAAAATGTCTTCTAGAGCAAGGGTAAATAGTTTAGGAGAGATGGTGTCTCTTTGTCTTACTCCCTGTTGTAGTCTTATGGGATTAGTTTTTGTGCTTTCGTCCAGCTTTATATGCATGGTGGCATTTTCATATATGTTGTTAATTATGTTAGTGTATCTTGAACCTATACGTGCATTTTCTAGAGATTCAAGCACTGCCAATAATTCGATGGAATCGAATGCTTTATGGAAATCGACGAACGCCATATGAATTGGAACATTATACTCGGTGCATTTTTCTACCAGTGTTCTTACGGTGTGCAAGTGGTCTATGGTACTAAAATGTTTCCTGAATCCAGCCTGCTCGATAGGTTGATAGAAATCGAGCTTATGTGTTAGGCGGTTGGTTATGATTTTAGTTAGTAATTTATACAAATGTGATAGCAAAGATATTGGTCGGTAATTCTCGAATATTCTTGAATAATAAAATGAATTCGGAGTTATACCATTCTTGAGGAATCTTTGCTTTATCAATTACTTTATTAAATAGAATATTTAATACCTGTTCCATTTTTCTGCCACCAATTTTCAACATTTCAACTGCAATTTTATCCTCTCCTGGACATTTATTCGTTTTTAGTTGATTTAGGGCCATTCTTTCATAGTCGGTTATGTCCGGTATTTCTTGTGAGCCGTTGTTAATTATTGTTCGTTCAGTACGTCGTTGTTGTGGTTGTGTATTTACCGAGTATAATTTAGTGTAGAATTTTTCAATGGCCTCGCTTATTTCATTTTTTAATTCTATGATTTTTGTTATGCTTTTGTTTGCTTTTGTGTTTGCTTTTATTATGATTAGTTATGATTAGTTACTACGTAGAATTTAATATGTTTCTGGTCACAGAGTTCTAAGAGATTAACCCTAGAACAACAAGGTAGAGTTTGCTGAACGTTAACAATAAGGTGGCGTCATGTAAGACCACTAAACTCACTCTTGAAATATATAATTGTAATCCCTGCTATTTATAACTTTATTTGCTACAGTACAAAGTGTAATCGGTATTAATCAATCTATGATACTGAAATTAAGATTTATTAACACTACGGATATAACAGTTATTCTTCTTTCTCTGCTTTTCACTTTTTAGGGGTAACTAATCCATACTCTCCCTCGCCACTCATTTCTGTTCATCGAGTTTTCTTCACCTCAACCTTTCTCTCTTATGTATTCTGCCACACAGTCCTTTCATCTTCTCCTCGGTTTTCTCTACCTTTTCTTCCAGCAACTTCTAACAGCTCTATCCTTGGTCCCACATAGTTTTCTGCTTCTGACATGACCAAACCATTGCAGTTTTTGTTCCTAAATATTTTTTGACATTTTGATCATCCCGGCCCTTTCACCAACTAAGTCGTTTCTGATTCTGTCCCTTCTAGTCTTACCCAACATCCACCGTGATATTTTTATTTCAGATACTTTCATCTTCTTTTCCTAAATCTTCTTTACAAGCAACAAATTGCAGCTGTATACCAACACAGGCCTCAGTACACTCTTGTATATCATCTTTTTCTGCCCTTCCCGATTTTCGATCACAAAGTACTCCGTTCATTCGCTTCCAGTTAAATGAATCACCCTATATCCTGTGTGCAATTTCTCGATACAGTGTCCCATGTTCCGTTGTAAGAGCCAAGGTATTTATATTATCCTACTCGTTCTAGCTTTTCTCCAAGCAATTCTACGTTCTCAACCATTCTTCTTTCTCCCAACCACATATACTTCGTTTTTGACCTGCTAACCTTTAGTCCTTTTTCTTCAATAGCCCTTCTACAACACTTTAACTTTTCCTCAAACATTTCTTTGTTCTGATCTACTAACACGATATCATCTGCATTGATCAAAGCGCTCTGCCCTTACTTTCTCTGTCAGAGGTATATCCATAACAAGATTAAAAAGGTAAGGACTCAGTAAGAAGATTTGATGCAAACCCATTGTCACTGGAATACTTTTGGTCAATTTGACAGCGGTCCTTACTTTGGTGTACGCTCCCTCATACATATCCTTCACGAGCTTTACGTACTTCTCAGGAACTTATTTTTCTCTCATACATCTCCATAGCTCTTGTCTAGAAACTGTATCGTACGCATTCTCAAGATCTATAAATATCAAATATAGCTCTTTTTTTTCTCGCTGTATTTCTCTATCAACTCTCTTAACGCAAACAAGGCATTCGTTGTCCTCTTTACTGGCATAAACCCATACTGTTCTTCTCCTATCGATGTCTCTCTCCTTAACCTTTGCTATACAGTTGTCTCTCAAATTGTTACATACAGACCTGTCCAGTATACAGTCCTGAATGTCCCCTTTATTTTATACATCTCTGTGAAATTTCTTTTTCCTTTGACACTTTGCCTAAGTTGTTGTTTGTTTTAAAAGCTGGTATTATTCCTTTCTTTTTATGTGTTTGGCTATTTTTGTTGATATCTTGTCTGTATATGTAATTGAGCGAAAAATATACACTGAAATACCACAGTTAATCCTACAAGGGAAGATTGAAGGTAGGAGAGGAGCCGGCCGCAAACAATTATCCTGGTTAAGGAATATTAAAGAATAGACAGGAATACACAATACAGGCGAGCTGTGTCACGCCCCCAAGAACATAATTCTAGTAATGAGATAGTCGCCTACTCACTTTGGTGTATGGCATGTTAAGAAGAAGAAGGAAGGTATAGGGTTTTTCTCTGGTGGTGGAAATACTAATTTCAGAGCTTTCTTATGTAGTTTTTCATTTAAAATTTTATTTATTTTATGTTGTACCTATTGTTTACTGCTATCTGTTTAATGATATTCAGTTCTATCTCGAAGATATTTTTGACATGAGAATTTCTAGTAATCTATGTAACATATTATGATAGACAGCCAATTTACGTTGTGTAGGATGTGATGATGAATTATGTATAGTCGTGGCAGTATGGGTAGGTTTATGGAATATGGGGAACTTATGTTTGTTTTTAAGTTTGATAATTTTTAAATCTAGAAAATGTTTGTATTGATTCTGTTCTGCTTCTATAGTAAATTCATTATGACTGTGCTGTAGTTCCTGTAAAACATTCCTGTACATCGTCTACCTATCTTTACAAATACAAAAACTGTTTGAATATGAGATGTTTTGAAATATTTGTTTCTACATAGATGGTCCATAAAAATATCTGATAGCAATGGGCTTATAGGTTTACCCATTAAGTCCTGCACTGATATTTGTGTATAAAAGAAACTACAGGTCTTATTGGGTGATTAGGTTTATGTAGTTTAATAAAAGAATATAATTTAGGAGGCTGTGGGTTCATGATGTTGAGGTATTTCTGTTCTATTGAATTTAAAATTAATTTGGAATTTTCTAGCGCTAGTTTAATTTGATTTTGATACTTTTCCGTTGGATCTTTGTTAATTGTTTCAAAATTTGGATTATTTAAAAAATCTATTGTTTTGTTATTATATTCCAATTTGATCTAGAGCAATAGTAGTGTTACCATGTCTGCTTTTGTAAACACTACGTTGTTCTCTATTGATTTATTTTTATTTGAGATGACTGTTAGATTCTCTTTATAACAGGATCATTTATTATAATTTTTGTTATGCTATAAACTGACTTATTGTATGGTATATTGTATTTACTATTTTTGTTTCAGGTGATAATGTAGATTGCTGGATGGAAATCCAACATGGTAAAGGACCTTGGGCTCCACCGGTCAGTGGAATTGTACCACTTGGTTCTACGTTAACTTTAGTTGTAGCAATAAATGATTATAGAGGTAAGCAAAATAATATAAGAATATTTTTACTATTTTTTATTAATTTTACTAAACCTATCAGTAACAAAGGATTTCTTTATTTTATCATTTCTATTGAGATAAGTTTTTTGTCATTTTTTATCTACGACCAGAAGCTTTTGCCTTCTGACCGATATGTTAATACTGTCTAAATCATAGCCTAAAACGACACAATCCTTATTGTATGCAATCCAGAAGAGTTAATTGATCTTATACTACTGGTTGAAAATACATGTCAAATATCGAAGAAAAAATTTATGATAGGGGATAGGCGACAAATATCCATACGTCACCCAGATTGGCCAGTTTAATATTAACTTTGACTTTTATATGGTAATATGTATCACAAACATAGTGTCACAGCAGGAAAAAATAAAATGTAAATGTGATTTAGCAAAGATCTTTATATAGAAGATAGCTAAAATATGAGAAGACACTATATTGGTCAACACTTTAATATTCCCAATAGTAGCATACTGATGTGAATCTTAAACGTTTAATGCTATAATAACGTAGATGAGGATGGCACTAATATAGAAAATGGTTGGCGTTACAAATTTAAGAATTCTTCTATCATATTTGAAAAAAATTAATCAGTAAATTCTAATTCAATTAGTATTATAATCCTTTAAATAATAAGCGCATATTTTTGTCAATGAAAATCAGTTTTATTTAGAAAAATGTTACTTTCTGATAAAAGTGTCGTGTGGTCGATGAGCGCGGACATTGACCTAACCTCTCCATATTATGCAGGTAACGTTGTTGTAAATAGCACGTTGATGATCGGTATATCACTAATAATACGAAGCACTATACAATGTCCTCACCGTGTGTGTCTCTGTCGGCATTTTCAAGTGGACGTTTAATTGAAGTAGTACTTGGGAATGCCAATAAAGTGGAATGCCTAGAGAACCTCAAGTTTTCTGAATGAATTCTTCGTGAAACATTGTAACGAAAATAGTTCTACTAAAACTAAAGCTAGCATAGAAATAATTCAGTGTACCTACCTGTTAGAGCAAAAAACTACACTGTTCGTCAATTTAAAAGGAACAATGTACACATATATGTCGAATTCCACAGAAAATATCTACATTTTTGATGCCAAAAACATTGATTTGAGAGCATTTTTTTGGTACTTAAAACTCAATCATGTCTTGTTTGCGAAATTTAAAAAAGTGAATAAGCGAAATATAGTGATTTTGGAATGTAAAAATGTATTGTTGATTTATTTGCGATATAAAGCATATATATCGACAAATTAAATTAAATAAGAAATGTTGAATCTACGAAAGGGTTCTCTGGAGATCGGACTTTTTTTAAATCTCTCGGAGTGTTTACTACGCACCGTTACTTATGGCACTTCTTCGTTTTATTTTGCTTAAAAAAACTCTACACGAGTAACTCTTTTATCTACTCACCTTCTGCTGCTTCTTCTTCAAGTTCCGCTCCTATCGGAGATTGGAAATATTTCTGGCAATTATAATTTTGTTGGTTACGCGCCTGAATAGTTCAAATGAACTGAATTCAAACCATTCAATAAGATTGCGTAGCCACGAGATTTTACGTCTTCCTACGCTCCTTCATCTTTTGCAGTGAGTACTTGTTCAGCTTCTAAAGCTTGATGTTTTTTCGCCAGGCAATGGGTTAGCAACCATCTCGACGGTCTTCCGTCAGAATTACGCTAAAAGTGATTCTCTTTTACTATACTCACCTTCTGCAGTGAGCACTCGCTTAGCTTTTAAAGCTCGATGGTTTTTCGCTAGACAAATCAACAACGTCAGTAACCATCTTCGTTTATTTTCAAGGCTTTGTCTCAAACATTTTGACATGTTGTTCGTTGACAAAGAGGAACCTTCCATTTTTACGGTACTGGGCCTAAAATGGAATCATACGACTGACTTCTTTTCTTATTGTTCACGTCCTATTAACAAACCTTGTACAAAGCGGGCTATTTGTTCGTAAATCAGTCGTTTTTTTGTTTCTATTCTAGTCACTTTTGTCAACAAGTCTCGTCCAATTTTCATGCTCGCTCTGACTCGACAAGATTGAGCTTTTGGCAGCCATATTTATGTCTGATCTAGTCACCTTTGTCAAAAGGTTCTTCTTCCGATCTTCTGATATTAGATCTGACTCGACGATTGCGCTTCCTTGAGATAATTTTGCTACTCAAAAATTGGCAATCGTATTAAACACATACAAGAAGTGATACCACATTCTACTCGGCATTATATGCCTTCCAACTAAAATCTTCTGTAATTGTGCTAGTCGTGTTTTATCACCGATACAATTATCACAATTTTTCTGGCATTTTCCTACCGTAAAGCTCGTCGAAATATCAATACTCTCCGGCTGTTATTGAATAATCTTTTCTGAAATGTGATATCATGCTGATATCTCTACGCTGTTCTTCTTCTAGTTTTTTTTTCGCACCCACGGAATTATGATAGGAAAAAAGGCTAACAGTATTCTGTTTGACAGTCATTCTAGTCTACGCGTTGTCAATCTGAGCACAGCTTCAGATGGCATCCAAACATGTCCTGTGGTCAAAATATGACCGCCGCTTATTTGTCAATCCATATTTTATTCTTACTTAATTCTTTATTAATATATTGATCTTTTCATGTCTATTCTTTATACTTATACTTTTAGCTGTTATTAAAAATATTCGTTTTTGGAGCGGAAGAATGTTTGGGAAAGTATGTAGTATTTACATACTTTTCAGAAACAGAGACAAATTTGCAATGGTTATACCCAACCTTTATTAGTACAGTTAGCAGAAGAAAATCTTAAACGCGAGTAATTCGTTTTGGCTTTACAACCCTGTGTGGTTCCTAGCCTCACCAAGAATTTTTTTCCAGTCGTCCCTATCCATCGCCTTCCTCCGCCAAGCACGTATTTCCATATTTCTCATATCTTGGTCTATGTTATCTAGGAATCTTGTTCTGGGTCTTCCTCTTCTTTTTTGACCAATAGGTTATCAAGGCATCATAGCAAATGCATGCCTCGAAATGAAACGTTTAGGGTTGCAGATATTGGGTTTGAGTGAAGTTAATGGCCAGGTTCAGGTAAAGTTAAAACCATGAACAAAACTTTCCATTACTCGGGTAATAACAATCCGGTTCATCGTAACGGGGTTGGAGTAATTTTAGAAGACAAATATAACCATGCCGTCACAAACTTTGTGCCATTTTCGGACCGATGTCTTCTTATTCAACTATCCGGAAAGCCAGTAAATATTAACATCATTCAAACTTATGCCCCTACGGCCGATAAACCCATAGAAGAGCTAGAAGCGTGGTATGCTGAAGTAGAAAAACTAATAAAGATGACCAAAAAACGAGACCTAACATTTATCTTAGGTGACTTTAATGCTAAGTTAGGTAGAGGAAAAGTTTCTGGACTTATCGGAAACTTCGGACTTGGAGCAAGGAACGACAGGGGAGAGAGAATGACCGAATTTTGCCAACAACACAACATGGTAGTGACAAATACATGGTTTAAATTACACCCTCGCAGATTGTACACTTGGACTTCACCACAACACAATGAAAACAGAGTAATCCGTAACCAAATAGATTACATATTGGTCAACAAAAGATATCACAATGCAATCATCAGTGCAAAAACATATCCTGGAACTGACATCAATTCCGATCATAATCCTGTTGTTGCAAAAGTTCGCGCAAGATGGAAACTAATAAAGAAACAAAAACCTCAACACCAACTATTAGACATCCAATTATTGAAAAACGACACCATACATCAGACAGTAAATAAAGAATTAAACAAAAATTTAGGAAATATCGACCACAATAGAATTAGCGAGTACGATGACATAAACGTTCTGTGGAAAACTATTAAAGAACAAATGAACAATGTAACGGAAAAACATCTAAAAGTAACACCTAGAAATAACAAACAGGAATGGATGACAGAAGAGATTTTACAATTAATGAACAAACGAAGAGAATCTAAAGGAAAAAATGACAAGGACGGAGAATACAAAAGACTAAATAGAATAATTCGAAAAAAAATAACCGAAGCAAAAGAGAAATGGCTGGAAACAAAATGCGTTGAAATAGAAGAACTGCAACAAAGGCACGATTTTTTTAATTTACATAAAAAGGTAAAAGAGTTTACATCGACTACCAAGAGAACGACTTTTCACACCATGCTGAACACGGATGACAAACTGCTAGAATCAACGGAAGATAAACTGAAAGAATGGGAAAACTATATTAAAATTCTTTTTCACGACATACGAGAAGAACCAAGATTGGAAAATAACAACGAAGGGCCAACAATTCTGAAATCTGAAATCATAAATGCAATTAATCATCTCAAAACAAATAAAAGCCCAGGTCCAGACGGAATATACCCAGAAACGTTCAAATTAATCAGCGAAGAAAATATCGAATTATTTGTCCTTTTATTCAATCGCATTTATGATACAGGTAAAATACCCCAAGATTGGCTGGAGTCAATATTCATCCCACTACCAAAAAAGCCAAACCCACAACACTGCAATGAGTTCCGTCTGATAAGCCTTATGAGTCATGCAGTAAAAGTCCTACTAAAAATCGTACATAATCGTATCTATAGAAAGTGCGAAACAATCATCGGAGACGATCAGTTTGGATTCAGAGCCGGCATGGGAACGAGAGAAGCCCTGTTCAGTTTACTAGTTCTCGCCCAAAAATGCTACGACCAACAGAAAGATATATTTATATGCTTTATAGACTTCGAAAAAGCATTTGATAGAGTAAGACACGACCTACTATTAGAACGTTTGCAAGAAGTCGGTTTAGATGGAAAAGACATCAAACTCTTAAAAAACTTGTACTGGAACCAAAAAGCCAGAGTTAGGATCGAAGGTTCCACATCCGCAGAAGTAGAAATTAGGAGGGGAGTTAGACAGGGATGTGTTCTGTCGCCTCTGCTGTTTAATCTTTACTCCGAGTTTCTATTTAAAGAAGCATTGG